CGCTGGCCTCCACGTGGCTTCCTCCAGCCTGCAGCGGCCAATGGAAATAAGGCGCGTTGCGGTAGGCGACTGTTAGACAAACGCAAAACATGTCTTGTTCTTGTTCGGCACATTCCAAAACAACCCAAGACTTACTTCTAGATTACTAACCAACTCACTCTATTCCAGTCCGGCCAAGTACGTACGAATCGATTGTCGAAAACCACTAGGCGACGGATGTCTTCTACCCGCAAATTCAAGGTCTCACAACCGTAAAGCAGAACTACTCGTACAGTGGCGCAGTATACGCGATTTTTCAACTTTAGTGAAACGTCACGTCGTCGTCACAGATGTTTAAGTCCTGCGTATGCTGCTCGAGCCTTGGAAACGTGCGCGGTTATCTCCTTTGATGCGCTGCCTAAGTACGGGAAGCAGTCACCTTCAGCTAATTCCTGACTGTCTAGTTTCAGAGTAGAACTCGGCGACCCCCAGTCTTGCAGTATCACTTTGCACTTTGAAGGTGCAAAGTACATGCCGAACGGAGCAACAGAACTTGTGCATCCTCCATACATTCAAACAGGTAAACGATGTCATTAGCANCCCGCAAATTCAAGGTCTCACAACCGTAAAGCAGAACAGATCGTACAATGGCGCAGTACACACGACTTTTCAACTTTGGTGAAACGTCACATCATCGCCACAGGTGCTCATGTCCTGCGTACGCTGCTGAAGCGTTGGAAATGCGGGTGATTATATCTTTTGATGAACTACCGTCATCGGTCACGCAGTTACCCAATTAGAGAAGCAGTCAACTTCAGCTCATTCCTGACCGTCTAATTTCAGAACGGAACTCGACGACACCCAGTCATGCAGCAGCGTTTTGTATTTCGAAGGTGGAAAGCACATGCCGAACGGATCAACAGGTCTTGCTAATCTGTTCAGTGCACCTTGTGCATCCTCCATACATTCGAACAGGCAAACAATGTCGTCAGCGTACTCTAAGTCGCACTGCTTTTCTCCGGCTGCCCATTCATACCAATATTTTGGTGCGTTCTCCAGTATTTCATCTACAGCGAAGTTGAACAAGGATGGCGAAATAAGTTTGGCGTTCCAACCAGAACAGCGAAAGAGAAACGAACCATTCTGTGCTGTTTACATAAGTCACACTTTTACCGCCAAAAGGGAAAACTCGTGGCGGACTGAAACAATTACACTTAATGCAGTTATTCGCTTTCAACCAGCAGATAGAAAATAACACCCTGAAGCATCAAATAAATTAGGACGAACAACGATATAACCAATTAACAGTCTGGCAAAGGTTTCAGGGTAGTATTTATGGAAATTGAGGAGTTCATGTGCAAGATAGAAATCATTTTGAAAGACTAAACCCAATTCGGTTATGGATTAGAGAAAAATCAATAGGCCGAAAATAACCGTTACCTTGAGGTTGATCTTTCAGAATCAAAAGCTACGGTAAAGGTTCAAACAGAAAGTCATTCGTAGGTGCGCACTACTGACGCCGAGTATAACGGAGCCTTCAAGTATCGGAGACGTATTTGGAAAACAGCTTTTAGTTCCACTTTCAAACTGCTTCCTGTTTCCGCCATTCAGGCCAAGTCACTTTGGGCGGAGGGTGATGAGTGAAGTAAAGAAATCAGAAGCACCTGGATGGGCCAAACCAAGATCTATTCGTGACTCTGTTGCACTCAGTGTACGCACACACACACACACACACACACACACACACACACACACTACCAGATGGGATAAAGACACAGCCTTACCTAGAACCCCGCTGGAACATTTAACATAAACAAGTGAAGCGGGATCCGTGAACCGCGTTTTTATCAAGGCGGCTTTGCGAAAGTTATATTATACAGCAACACTGGATTAACGTTTTATATCCATTTATGTAAACTCCAGTAAAATTTAAGCCATGCACAATTTTATCCCTAAACAAGTATCCGTGGAAAACATCTATTGGATGTCTCCATGTGCTTTCTTAAATAGCATACGGAATCAATTTAAACAAGAGTAGACAGCGGCAATGGCGCGAAGAAGCACACAGAAAAACACCTTCGGTTTTCGAATCATTTTCAGTCTTTGAAAGGAGACGCAGTTCTTTCAATGCTGTCAATTATCCGTTGCAAGATTCACAGTGGGGAGTGTTCGAAACTTGTTGAAAAATTTTATCTGCATCGATCGACGGATGGATGACGAATTGATGCCTTCGGTTCGGTTTGTGCTGACAGAGCCCTGGTAGAGAAGACAAAAACCTGATGTCAGCACATAAGTGCACCGTCGTAGCATAATTCAACTAAATGTACAGTCCCACACAACGCACTAAATATCTCGTGCATCAATATGAAATGTGACACACCTTTTTAGTCCTGTTCATCAGTAAAAGCTCTAAAGACCCGTGACAGTAATTCTGATAAGATATCTGCAGTTCCGCACACCCTTCCAGCACTGTTAGCAAAAGCTTTCATCATTGCTTAAAAATTTACTACGTAACATATGAGGTTTGCACGCCTGTGTATCTTTTTAAACTTACAACAATTATCAGAACATAGTTTCATTTTGCTGAGGCAATATTCCAAACGATCTTGACTTGTATTTAGATGCGTGATACTCGCTTGGAAGAATTCATTTTCAGAAAATCTCTGCCAGGCCAAAACGGCAGATGGACTTGTTGTTCAGGAGATCAGAAGATGGATCCATTCCTGNAAGGAAGTTTGGCGTCGACACTGCGCTCGGTGGCAAGTCCTTGGGTGAGTTATGGAAAGTCTGAAACTACTCACCGGCATATCTGCTACCATCTCTGGTGATCGTATTGAGCTAAAGGTATTTTTCGTTCCGAAAAACGATATCGTGGAAACGTTAGCGACATCTAGCATCATAACACCCCAACTCAAACCACCTCTGACCGTCATTGAAAGGTAGGTTTTAAGGGGGCTAGAGGTTATCCGGGGTAGGAAATATTGCGGTCTAGGTAGCTTAACGAAGGCAGTCATGAAAACGTGTGAAAATCACTGAGCACTATCTAGTTCGTCCATCTTTAATCAATGTATGACAGAAAGCAGAGCAGCTGGCACCGGGGTAATGTCCACAACACTCTTGCAACCAATATACCAAAGGGAAAGTTTCATCCAAGCACTTCAGCCCTCGTTACATCTAACTCTTTTCATTACATCATTATTACAACTCCTTTCCCCTGTAGTAAATCTTAATGCCCAACCAAACGGAATTTTACTACTATTCCCAACGTCGCTTGCATGAATCATTGCATCCTGTCCAGAACAAAGTCGGCAAGTTTATCACTAGCAACGCCACTGCATTAAGGGATTTGTTTTAGAAATCTTGCCAACAGATAAAAGCCTTCTTTTGACACCGTGGAAACTCACTTTGGAGCAGTGCAAACAGAGGTAATCAGGTGAGTAGATCTTTTGCCATTTAGACACGTGAAATGCTCTTTATCCTTGAAATAATCGCGGATCAATCTGCAAACGTTGGGATCGACACTACTTTCGATAATCAGATTGAGCAATAGCGATCGGTCAAGAATGCCGAATGAGTTTTTGTCATCAAAGAACACCATACTGACGCTCTTACACTTCTTATCCAGAACCGCAAGTGTTAAGTGAACAAAGTAGGCAACGGCATCAAGTGTTTAGCGCGAAGACCGATAAGCAAATTGATGCATATAATCTTCGGAAAACTCAGTGACAACCTACGGGAGCAAGCATTTCTCAAATAACTTGAGCATGACTAGTGTGCACGTGATGGGCCGATACTTCCCAGGTTCCTTTTTGGGACGGGAGTTACCTTGGCCAGTCAAGAAATGT